GAGACATATGTAATACTCTTTGTAATACTTTAAGCAATAAAACAAAATTTAAAAAATGTTTCCTTCTGCATCTATTAAAAAGTATTAATTTTTCTTTTATCTGTTGATATGGTGTACTCCTTAAGAGATTTTATAATGTTGAACTTTCTTACATTCTCAGGACAAACCCTATTTGATCATGATTAATTATTATTTTTATATGAACTGCCACATTTGATTTTAGCATCATACAGATAATTAATTTATGGTCCTCTCATAAACTAGTCTTTTCTGGTGTGGAGATCAAGGTTACACTAGGCTCAAAAATGATTAGGGTGCCCTGACCAGTTTATCTCAGTGGTTAGAGCATCAGCCTGCGGACTGTAAGGTCCCAGGTTCGATTCCGGTCAAGGGCATGTACCTTGGTTGTGGGCACATCCCCAGTAGGAGTTGTGCAGGAGGCAGCCGATTGATGTTTCTCTCTCATCGATGTTTCTAACTCTCTATCCCTCTCCCTTCCTCTCTGTAAAAAATCAATAAAATATATTTTTTAAAAATGATTAGGGTATCCCTGGTTGGTGTGGTTCAATTGATTGGGTGTCATCCCTAGTACTGAGGGGCTGCTGGTTCCATTCCCGGTTGGGGCACATGCCCAGACTGTGGGCTTGATCCCTCATGAGGGGCATGCATAAAGCAGCTGATGTTTCACTCTCACATTCATTTCTCTCTCTCTCTCTTTCCCTAAAAATTAAAAATATGATTAGGGTAGCTTTCCCTCTTTCAACTCTGAAACAGTATAAAACTAGGAATACTTATTCCATAAAGCCATTAGGACGGGTATATTTTTGGAGAAAGGGAAAAGTGGTTAATAAAATTTTGATTTCCAATTAACAATCAATGGCATATTATTTTCTAAAGTCCATTTTGACAATTACCCCTTCCTAAAAAATATTTATTTCATATAAGTTTGCAATGTATTAACAATGTTATTCATAATAATTCTTTACAGTAGAATAATCTCTGTTTTATTTCTAGGTCTGCCATATCATTCCTAATAATGTCTATTATGCCTTTTCTCTTTTTACTCCTGATAAATCTTGATAGTGGTTTGTTTCTTCTAGTATTGCCTCCAAAGAACCATTTTTTATTGTATAGTATTGATCTTCTCAACTGTGTCATCTGTTTTCATTAACTGTATCAATTTTTCTAATTCACTATTTTATGTTCTTATCCATATTTTTCTTTTCTCCTATTTTAATTTTTCCTTATTTATTTTTCCCCCTTACTTAAATTGAACACAATTCCTTTAATGCCAGTCTTTATCTTATTGTTACTTTTGTTACAGAAAAATTTTAGTAGAAACAAAATCAGAAAGAATACTATGTACTCAACAGCCAATATCAACAATTTTCAACTGATGGTCAATCTCATGTTGGGCAATCATTAATCCGAGATTACTTTAAAGCAAATTCTGACATTATATATTTTCATGTATAAATAGTTCAGTAGTTTTTCTAAAATATTAAGATTCATTACACTTAAAAATACTATTATAATACCTAAAAAATTCACCAATAATCTTTCATGTCATCCAATATCCATACTCAAATTTCCTCAATTACCCCATAAATACTTACATAATTTCTTTGGCTCCTCATAAGGTCCAATCATTGCAATTGGTTAATATGTCTCTTATGATTCTTTTAACCTATAGGTCTCTCTTCATCATTTTTCCCTTAAAATTTATTTGTTGATGAAGATGGATAGTATGTCCTATAGAGCAGTGGTTCTCAACCTTCTGGCCCTTTAAATACAGTTCCTCATGCTGTGACCCAACCATAAAATTATTTTCGTTGCTACTTCATAACTGTAATGTTGCTACTGTTATGAATCGTCATGTAAATATCTGATATGCAGGATGGTCTTAGGCAACCCCTGTGAAAGGGTCGTTTGACCGCCAAAGGGGTCGCGACCCACAGGTTGAGAACCACTGGTCTAGCTCATCTACCATTGCAAATAGACTCGTTCCTCCCCATAATAGCTACCACTTAACTAAAAACACAATCTCATTTAATTCTTATAACAATTTCACCAGGTAAGTATTATTTTCTCACCTAAGAGATCATTCCCATTTTATAAGAAATTGGGGCTTAGCCCTAGCCAGTTGCTCAGTGGTTAGAGCATCTTCCCACAGACCAAGGGCCTCAGGTTTGATTCCCCGTCAAGGGCACGTACCTCAGTTGTGGGTTTGATACCTGGCCCGGGTCAGGGCACATACGAGAGGCAACCAATTGATGTGTCTCTCTCACATCGATGTTTCTCTCTCTCTCTCTCTCTCTCTCTCTCTCTCTCTTTCTCTCTCTCTCCTTCTCTTCCCTGCCTTCCCCCTTCTCTAAAAATCAATAGAAAAATATCCTCGGGTGAGAATTTTTTAAAAAGAAAATAAATTGAGTCTTAGAGTGAATAAGGCACTGAAATGTTCAATGACAAAGCAGGGATGTGAAGCCAGGTTTGTCCAACACCCAACTCCACATTTTCTGTTACTGTGCTCCACTGTCCCCCAACAGCATGAACTGTGGGTCCTCCTTCCCCTCTTCATGAGGCATGCTGTTGGCATCCTGGCATTGATGTCTGGCTGGGTCTTGGGGGTTTGTATCCCCAGGGCCCTCCTGGTTGATGTCCCCCTCATCTCTGACCCAGCAGCCTCTAGCCAGACCACAGTAGGCCTAGACCTTGGACCAGTCCATTCGCCCATCATTTCACCCTCAGGTTCCAGGCTGCCTGCTGGGGAAGCAGGGGTGGGAGGGGGTCCTCAGAAGGCAGAGCCAGTATTTGTTGAAGCCTGAAGGGGGCGGGGCAGGCAGCTGCCCACCAGCAAGGTGCCTCTGGCCCCTCCTTGGCAGAGCAGAATAGGAATGTTTGTGTCCCAATTGACAATGACAAGGAAGTGCCCTGCACCTGATTGAGTCGTTTCAGTATCAGGGACTGATTCCGGGACGCAGAATGCCATCCTTAGCTGGGCAGCCAGGAACCCGTCCCTCCGAGTCCCACAGTCACAGCAGAGGGCTCCCCATGCTCAGGCTAATTTTGAATGCTTTACCTGCAGCACTTACGTTATCTGCACAGCAACCCCATGAAGTAGCTACTATATCACCATTTTCCAGGTGAGGAAAGACAAACAGTAGCTTGTAACTTAACCAAGAACGACAGCTAGCAAGTACTGGTTATCCATGAGGAAAAGAGGGATAGAATGCCTGCCCACCAACTCCATAACACAGGGGTTTTGTAGGCCGTCAACTCCCATACATCGACAATAAGTTAGTATTTTTAAATCTGAAACAGTTACAGTTCTTCCCTCCCCCTTTCTGGATATAGGACAGGTTTCTCCAGCGGCGCCTCTAGGTAATGTGGGCACAGAAAGTTCCTGGAAGAAGTTGGTAAACAACGGTGTCGGCAGACAGGGAAAGTAAGCGGCTGGAGGGGCAGAGTGGAAAATTTACTTTTCACTGTGCTTATGAGCAAGATATCTACATGTAATTGCTTAAACATGAAAGGGCTGCGCAGTATCAGGTGAATCTGGCTGGAGCCTCTGCTTCTAAGATAAGCAAGCAGAGGCCTGGGGGCGCCCAGGGGCGGGGTGGCTCGCCCACGATCACCAGCGAGCGACAGGGCTCCTCCCCAGCACCGCGCAGGGTGGGCACCTTCAAATGCGGAGGAGCCGAGGGAGTGTGGTCCTTGGCGCCGCGCGCCCTTTGGCTCGCCCCGAACTGGGCGTCCTAA